GATGCTTCTTACATCATTCACAATTTTGCCCATAGAATCCTTCAGTATTACAAGTTGAGGCTTGAATTTATTCTTCAGTTCTTTCAGCTTGAGAAATCCTAAGCTTGTTTTTTCCCTTTGGATTCTCTAACTCCAGCTCTTTTTGCACATTCCCTTATACTTTGCTTTGTCTTCTCAAACTGCCCTTTGAAATCTCGTCCCTTTTACTTCAACATTTCTTCCCTTTGTTTTGGAGTGGCATCCACTTCGGTAAATGCTTGCCTCTGGAAACCCTGTGAACCTGGAGAAAAGATGAAAGTCAGGAAAGTGTCGAAGACTTTCATTCACAGGGTTGCTATGAGTTGCCTAAGACTCGACGGCACGTAACAACAACATATTGCGGCACAGATTTCAGAGTTTCTTATGACATCCGTTTTGGTCTTTTCTTTCTCCTCTGTCTTTGTAATGACCTTTTGCTTTCTTCATGGATGATAGCCTTGGTGCCATTCCATAACTCTTCTGGTCTTTGATCATCAGTGTTCAGTGCATCAGATCTGTTCATGACATGGCTTTAAATTCAGGCAGGGTAGACTCAGGATCATATTTTGAGTCTTGTGAACGTGTTTTAAACTTCTTCAACTTCACTTTGCATTTGCACATTAGTATTGACAATCAGTTTTACAATCAGCCCCTGGCCTTGCTTTGACTAAGGATATTGAGCTTCTCCAATGACTTTTCCACAGATGTGATCAGTCTGATTCCAGTGTAGTCCCTTAGATGAAATCCATGCCACATTTAATGTTTTTTGATAAAGACATTTGCAATGAATAAATCATTTATTATACAATTTTCCATCATTTGGTCCCCAGCCTTATTTCTGTGACCAAATCTGTTTTTTCCAACTACAAGTCCTTATTTCCAACTTTTGCATTCTCATCACCTATCTTTATTAGTGCATCTATTAAAGCACTGGTCTGTCCATTTGCTGTACAGAGGTAACTCTTGGTTGCTGTGATACTAAATACTGTGACACTGATTTGTCAAATGCAATAATGATTACCCATGGTGGACAGTGTTTGGTGGAGCTTCCTGATTAAAACAAGCTTGGAAGGAGGAATGACATCCACTTCCGAAATAGCTTGCCTCTGGAAATTCTGTTGAACATGGAGAGGCTATGAAAGTTATACAAGTGTTCAGGTTTTTCGTTCACAGAATTCCTATGAGTCATCTACAAATCAACAGCATTTAACAACAGCAACAACAACAACATTAAGGCAGAAAGAGTAGAAGGTGGGAATCAAGGTGGTGGTGTCAGGTGCAAGTGATTACAACACAACAATCCTCTGAACAGCAGAGCAAATAAAACTCTGTCCTGTCCTTCACCATCCTCATAATTTCCCATGCTCAAGCCCACTGTTGCCTTGAAGTTGTTTTTAGGTGTTGTTGAGTCGACTTCTACTCCTAGAAACTCAGTAAATAACAAATATGAACCTTACCCTGTCCTGAGCCATCCTTATGATCTCCGGTGTGCTGGAGAGCATTATTACAGTCAGTATGTAAATTCACCTTGTTGAAGGTTCTCTCTTTTTCTGACTCTCCCTTTCCCAGCATGATGACCTTTACCAAAGACTGGTACCTCCTGACCACATGCCCAGCATATGAAGGGTTACCATCCTTGACAGGAGCAACCTGGTTGGACTTTGTCCAAAACAGAGTTATTTGTTCATTTGGAAGTTTGTGGGGCATTCAGTACTCTTCTCCAACATCACAACTCAAAGACATCAATTCTTCTCCTTATTCATGGTCCAACTTTCAGATGCATAGGAAGTAATTGAAAATACATGGCTTTAATCACGTGTACCTAGCTCTTTAAACTGACATTGTTGCTCTTCATCATTTTGGAGAGGTCACTGACAGCAGTTTTCCCAGTGCAACATGTTGCTTGAGGTAGGATGCTTGTAATAAAAATCTCAGACTTGGTATTTTTGCTGTGATGTTGGAAGAGAATGGCTTAGTTAGGGTGAAGGACAAGGTCATTTAAACTGAGAATGTAAAGAAACCAAGAAGTTAGTTGCCTGGATTTTGTGAATATGACTGTAAGCCAAAAGGGTAAGTGATAATGGTAGAAATAACAGCACAAAATATAGAAATATCCATGTGAAATAGGAAAATGAAATAGCTTCCACGCAGAGAGTGGCAGGACATAACCAGATTTCTTCCATAAGAGTCCCTGTAGTTATAAGTAGGGAACTTGTTGGTAGTAATAGATTCCTGGTTTCAGATAACAGACTCCACGGATTTGGGAACATAGAGGCAGAAAGAGCAGAGTAACATGGAGATGATTTCTGGTGGTCACCAAGGGTAACAGTGCTGTGAGGCTTCACAGGATTAACCTGGATACTGTCATAAAGGAAGATGAATGCAAGGTGAGAGTAGCGGGACACAAGGCAACATTTTTCACTTGTGTCTCCTAATATTTGTTGATTCTCGTGGCAGATGGTATACTGGAAATTTGTCTCATTAGTTGAGGCTGTTAGTAATTGTGATGGTGTTGATTCTGATTCATGGTGATTGGTGATCCTATGTGTTACAGAGTAGAAACTGTCCCACCTGCTTTTCTTAGCTATAATCTTTTTTTTAAATAGATATTGTTTTATTTACAAGTCATATACATTGCTTTTCACACCGAATCTTTCCCATTTTTTCATCCCTCCACTCATGAAGTTGTGCAACCCTATTATTAATGCCCAATCCCACCATGCCCATCCTTAGCCCTCTGCTTCCCCACTCACCACCTTGGATCCTCTTACACATTCTACAATAATGGTCTTACACAAGATTTGTCTTAATGGGACTGAGCTTGTTCACTCAACATAATGCTTTCCAGTCTCTCTTAAGTTAGGTAGTAATGTACAAAATCATTGTTCCTATGTGCTGCGTAGTATTCCATCATGTGAATATACTGTAATTGGAAATTGAGAAATCCATTTGATTATGGTTGGACATTTGATTATGGTTGGACATTTGGATTGTTTCCATATTCTTGCAATGATGAATAATGCTGCTCTGAACATTTTTGTACAAGTTCCCATTTGTGCCACAGTTCTCATTCTCTTGGGGTATATTCCAAGCAATGGAATAGCTGGATCATATGGATTCTATGTTCAGCTTTTTGAAAAAGTACTAAACTGCCTTCCAGAGTGATTGAACCATTTTACAATCCCACCAACCATGTATAAGAGTTCCTATTTTGCCACATCCTCTCCAGCATTTATTACTTGTTGCCCTTTTAAACTTTGCCACTGCTACTGGAGTGAGGTGATATCTCATTGTGGTTTTGATTTGCATCTCTTATTGCCAGTGATTTTGAACACTGCTTCATGTGTCTATTGACCATCTTCCTCCGTGAAAATTCTTTCCATGTCTTTTGTCTATTTTGTAATTGTGTGATCAGTCTTTTTTTTTGTGGAGGCCCTGTAGGATTCTGTAAACTTTTCATATAAGAACCTTGTCTGAAATGGTATTGCCAAATGTTTTTTCCCCAGTCAGTAGGTTTTCTTTTCACTCTGCTGGAAAATGTTTTTGATGTGCATAGGGATTTAATCTTTAGAAGGTTTCATTCATCAATTTTATCCTCTCCAGATTTTATGTTTCTGACTGTACTTGGCAGTCTCTTTATACCGTAGACTAGCCTGTCTAAGCTTGATTCCAGTTTATCTCTGATGAACTTTATGGTTTTGGACTTTACTCACAGGTCTCTGACCCACCTTGAGTTGATTTTTCTGTATGGTGTGAGATGTGGATCCTATTTGAGCTTTCTACAGGGAGCAGTCCAGTTTTGCCAGCACCATTTGTCGAAGAGGTTGTCATTTCCCCACTTGATAGGTTTTATTTCCTTATCAAATATCAGTTGACCATACATAGATGGGTCCATTTCTGGGTTCTCATTGACTACAATCTTCAGAGAATCCAATGTCCCAAGTTTTTTTCTTCTGCTATAATGCTGGGTAGATTTGAACCACCAACTTATATAGTACTCTAGAGCAACTTACTAGTGTCTCCCAAGGGTCTTCATTGATTGAAATCATTCAGGTTAAAAAGATTTAGCATAAAATGAAAATCTAACTTTTCTCTAAACTTATTAAAATCACAATTAAAAAATATTATGATAAAATAAAAAAAGATGTAGCCCAGCCTGGCCCCTTGTTGTCCCTAAGGAGATATTAACCACCTCTGTATCCCACAGACCTGTCTGAAGCACTTGGGAGAGATAAGGACAGCACCAGTGTACCAAGGAAAGGGGTGGATCTGTGACACCATACTGTCTTGTTAATGTTGAAGTCTTTTCATTAGTCCTTTTTTTTTGTTGTTGTTAAACTTAACTTCTTCCCTTTTATCTTTCTTTTTTCCCAGAAGAAGATGATGATTTGTCTCTGCTGACTGCGTTACTGGAGGAGAACGAGTCCGCCTTGCATTGTAATTCAGAACAGGGCAACTCCTTGACGCAGGATGCTGGTGAACCTGACCAGTTTGATGAGCTCTTTGATGCTGATGGTGATGGTGAATCTTACTCAGAGGAGCCTGATGACGGAGAAGTGGGAACCACTGAAGACAGGAGGGAAAACCTGGCTGCTCTCTTTGGAGATACAGGAGACTTATCAGATGAAGACATTCCTACTTCTCAGTCAGCTAAAAATAGGACTCTGCCTGCTCCAGCCTCTGCCCCTGGTCAAGAGAAAACTAATCAAGAATTGCAAGGTGCCCTGGGCTCACAACTTGTCTTCTTTATGATTACTAATCTGATGGTTTTCATCACATCAGTTGCTTTTTCAAGGATGGAAAGACGTAACTTTTTAAAAAATTGTATGATTTCCTAGATTAAAGATTTAAGGCCAACATTTTAACCTGCATAAGTTCCCTTATATTAGTGTCAACAAGCTATAATTGATCCTGCATCAAATAACTCTAACAGTTTGCATTCTTATTATAGCATAAAGTTACTTTGGAAATTATATTTGTGTGCAACCAACGCCAGTACTACAAAGCTCCTCCATTGGAGCAGACCTTTTGTGCAGAAGAAACTTGGAGAGATGCTCTTTTTTGCTCTGATGTTTCCTCAAATATATTTTAAGTTATGATAAAATTCATGGATTGTCTATTTCTTGTGATGTAGGTGTCAGCATTTATCATCTTAATTATGATTCTCATTTTGTTAAGTAAAGATAGTAATGCCTTAACTCCTAGAAACTTATTAACTCTGGATTTGTATCCGTGCTATCAGTAGTGCAAATTCATAATGAGTTTAGATATTAAGAGGGCTTGGTTCCCAGAAAGCAAAGTTTATGTTGCTAAGGGTCCTCTTATGAGTCTCAAGATTGGGAGCAGGAAGTCACCAAAAGTATTTTCATTGTGTATAACGTGTCCTTCATGTATAGCAGCTTTTTTTTTCCTTTCTCTAAGTTATTATATATTTTTCATCCTTAGATGAATTAAGGAAGTTGCAAGAACAAATGAAGGTCCTACAAGAACAGCTAAAAGTAGCAACAATCAAAGAGCCTGCAAGTCCAGTTGTTCTGCACAAATCCTCTGGTAATAAGACTATGATTCTGGGAATAGTATGAGTTTCTTGTTGGAAAGTTACAACATTACTTCTGCATCCCCTTGTAGAAAAACCATCTTTGGATCCCTTCCTTACGAATTTCTTTTTGTTTCAATTGAGTAGGTAAATCTCTTAATGAGAAGAAAGTTCAAAGGATACAGGAGTCAACTTGCTTTTCTGCAGAACTTGATGTCCCTCCTCCACCAAAAACCAGGAGAGTGGCTCGGGCTCCCAAGATCTCCCCTGCAGGTAGAGCTCTCTGCACTGCTCTGATTTCTCACTGTGTTTGCAAATGCGTTTGGCACTGTCTTGTTATTGTGTGTTGATTTATATCTACATTTAGAACAGTAAATTTCCTAGAAATATGTGCCTTCTGGATACATTTTGTCCTGTTTCTCTACATTCCAAGAAATTAATAAACATCCATTCTGTACTTAAGGATATTTATTATTTTCATGAGTTAGTTTTGTTTTTTTAAAACACTGTGTTTCCTTTAAACGGTATTAAATGTATCCACTGGATTGAATTCTCATGTCAGAAGTCTAGAGATTTAGTTGTCAAGGTTGTAAGATTAAGGCACAGATAATCAAGGCTTGTTTGAGACCATGCACTATATTAAGCCAGTGGGTCAAATCCTTAGCGGTTATCTTTGCCAGAAGTATAGAATGGTACACCAATAAAATTTTATTTCCACAAACACGTGGTATATGCACAAAATAATAAAGATATATTTGAGCTTTTGTAGTGATTTAAGGAGTCCTGGTAGCATGGTGTGTAATGAGTGAGCTGGTTAGCGGTTTGAATCCACTAGCTGCACCAAGGGAGAAAGATGAGCAGTGTCCTCTCTTAAAGGTTTATGGCATCCAAAATCTCATGGAGGGTTGCTATGAGTTGGTGGGTACAGTATTCTTGGTTGACGGTTGTATTCTTTGAGTGTTTGATATAT